CCTGGAATGCAGTTTTTAATTATCCTGTTCTTAAATCTGAGAACTCCTCCTGGAGGAAAGCCAGTATCAAAGCTTTCAGCCCAGCAAGAAAATACCAAGTTAAACTGCATTCATCTCCTTGGTTCTCACACTGTAGCTGACAGGAATCATTGCTTTCAGCTGTACCAGAGTGACATGTTTGCTAGCAACAGATGTCTCCACGCATAATGGGTACAAGCATGTCCTCAAAGAAGCAAAGTTACTGTTTGCTGATAAAATGAAACAACATATAGCATCTTGCAAGTTCAGTTCTAGAGATTATTAACAGCTCTGAAAGAGTGAGCTGAACAACAGCAATTCCTCCATTCCTCCTCAATCAATTCAAAATTTTGATAGCAAATAAGGTTGAAGGCTTTGCTCAGAAATTCTCTTCCAACTCAACACTTGACGAAGTTGGAGTACCCACACCTGATTTACCTCCTAGAACAGAGGCTCTACTGAGTGATATGTGCATAACCCTGTCACAGTTCTCAGACATTATTTCTAAATTAGACTCCCATAAGGCAAATGGAGGTGACAGAATCCCAGCCAAGCTGGCTCCAAATTTGCTCCTGAGCTGGCTCCAGTTCTCTCCAAACTCTACAACTATTGCCTTGCAGCTTCCTGCTTTCCAGCTTGTTGGAAGTCCTCCTCTGTAGCTTTTGTGTTTAAGAACTGTGGAGAACCTTCAGACCCCTCTAACTACTGCCCTATTTGTCTCCCAAGCTTTTTGGCAAAGTATTTGAGGCTTTAATCTATGCTGATGTGGTTAAGCATATTACCCCTTCATGACCTACTCTCCAACAAACAATATGACTTCCAAATCTATTTTTTCCAAATCTACTGCTGATGTGCTAACAGCCATCACTGAATATGTATATCAAGCTCTTGTTAATAACGATGAAGCTCAAGCTGTGGCTCTAGATATCTCAAAGATGTTTGACAGGGTTTGGGACACTAGTCTTCTATACAAGCTCCAGGGCTATGGCATTACTGGACATGTGTTTGATTTAATCCAATTGTTTCTGTCAAATCATTTTGAATAGGCTCACTTCCAGATCCTTTAACATGAACACAGGTGTCCCCCAAGGCTCTATCATTTTTATGGCAACTGCTTTGATAAACTTTTTTCCCTGGTTGCCCAACTACATAAATTTAAGCATGTTACTAGACTGGCTTCTATGTGCCACCCTTTTACTGTTGAAATAGTTAAATGTAACTGCCACTTCTACTTCAACATTTTTCTGGCACTTCCCAACAGTGGAACTCCCTTCCACTTACTTGCCTCTCTGATAACTACAATCTTCAAAAATTTAAATGCTGTGTCAGTCGTCATCTTCTGTTGCCTTGAACTCTAATCATCTATTGTCCTTTCCTCAATCTCGCCTATACCCAGTCTTTTCTCTCACTCTCTGTAACCTCCTGTGTACTAGTGGCACTCCCGCCTTGTTTGGGATGAAATGATTTAAAAAAATCAATAATTATTAGATTAAGCATAGAAATTGATAATCCAAAGTGAGAGAGAAGACGTGAGTAATTTAACACCCACTAATCACTTAAGTATTTAACAGAATGACAAAAATAATTATTTTTTTCATGTGGTGTCTCCCTTCCAGATATAAACGTAAATGGCTCTCCACAACTTCCTATCCTTTGTAGCTCTTTTTCAATTGTTATTAAATACAATGAGAACTTTTAAAAATAATTGCCTCAACTACATTGAGATTGATCTATTTTTGTTTATTATCTCTATCTATAAATCTTTGTTCATTCTATCTATCTATTCTTATTGTGTCTTGCTATCTCTAACCTCTCTCTCTCTCTCTCTCTCTCTCTCTATATATATATATATATATATATATATATATCACCTCTCTCTCTCTCTCAGTCCATTCATATCTCTCTATTTACCTATTTTTAAATCATTTCACCCCAAGCAAGGCAATAAAGCCACTAGGACACAAGGGGTTACTGAATGTTAAAGAGCAGGAGGAAAAATAAGGATAGGGAACAATAAAAGAGCAAGAATTAAGAAGACAAAGGATAATTATTGACATTGCATTTAAACCTTTGAATATCAAAGTTGAGTGGAAAGCAAGAAGCCAGAAGAGAGGTCCACAAGTGAGAAGTTTGATAGAAGAAACTGTTAGAATAGAAATTATGGTTAAATCGAGCCATTTCCACTGTGAAATGATGAGACCTAACTGCCAATGTAGTACTGCACTTAAATTCATAAGCCCTAGATAACATATAGGAAAGTTCATCCGAACAATTACCATGAAAGTATTTATTGAAATGCATAGGCAAGCTACATTATGGCAATGGGAAAGTGACTAAAGCTGAGATGCCAGGTCAAGATCTATCTATCAACCTCAGTCAATTCATTATCTATCTATCTTGGTTCATTGATTATCTATCTTTCTCAATCCATTCATTATCTATCTATCCGTTTTGATCCATTCTTTATCTATCTATCTATCTATCTTGGTTCATTCATTATCTATCTTTCTCTATCTATTCATTATCTATCTATCTATCCATTTTGATCTATTTATTATCTATCTATCTATCCATTTTGATCCATTCATTATCTATCTCAGTCCATTCATTATCTATCTTGGTTCATTCATTATCTACCTATCTATCTTTCTTGATCTATTCATTATCTATCTATCTATCTATCCATTTTGGTCCATTCATTATCTATCTCAGTCCATTCATTATCTATCTATCTATCTATCTATCTATCTATCTATCTATCTAGGTTCATTCATATCTATGTATCTATCTCAGTCCCCATGATTATCTACCTATCTGTAGGAAAACAGTAACAGTAGAGGTCCAGATCCAGAATAAGAAATCCAGGGTCACAACTGATATTACTTTACTTCCCTCACTCCAAAATTGTGTTAGTAGAATTTGGGAAGTAGGTTAAGAGAGAGTGAGGGAGAAAGAGAAAGAGTGAGAGAGAGTGAGAGAGAAAGAGAGAGTGAGACAGAGAGAGAGAGAGAGAGAGAGAGAGAGTGAAACAAGATTTACAAGGTCAGGATCCAACCAGTGAATAAAACCAAAACCATTCTTTGTGTGTGTGCGAAACAGAAAACAACTTTATAACAAGCAAAAAAAAAAAAAAAAAAAAAAATAAGAAAAAATGTACATACACATGGTTTGTATATAAAGTGACCATAATTGAATATTGTACAATAATAGGTCAAAGTCTTTTCGCTGGACAATGAAATATGCCCTATCCGTGGAAGCTGCCTCCAGAGTCATCAACTTGATAACTGTTTCTGATGAAAGGAAAGTCCTCATGACAGCAGTCAGAAAAGAGAAAAAAAAAAAGAGGAATGCTACTCCTTTTGCTATAAACTCCCATAAGTGATTCTCATTGGTTGGAAAAAAGAAATATAAAGGAGTAACAAGCCGCCCCCTTAAGATAAGATTACAGGAACACCGCAAAGCTATAACGAGGAGTAACAAAAAAAATCAGGCATTGCTGACCATATATCACTACCCCTGAAGGATGAGTTTGAAATAATATATGGAGAACATCACTGGAAAATAATAAAACAAAAGCACATATGATAGGCCACCAAAAATCTCCTAAGCTAGCCAAGCATGGGATATGAATATGAATGCGATGAGAACCAGTGATACAAAGTGCTAGAGAAAAACAATAATAACAACAAATTGTAATATGAGCTCTGGAAAAAAAAAAAAAAAAAAGAAAAGATAATGTTACTGAGACATTAGGAGGTAGTCTTACATAATGTCTATTTTTAGCCACAGACATAAACATGGTATACAGAGTTTCAAATTTCTGCTATACTCTGCAACTATCCTTCCCACTCCCTGTTCTAATAGTCATGTACATGCGCTTGTTAAATAGTTTTGCAAATGTGCAGGTGGTGTAATGGATAGTGGCTCAGAATGAGAAATCAGAGGGCCGAGTTCAAATTCCAGTCGAGTTCTTTACATCCATTTTAATGTAAATACATTTGAGAAAGGTATGAATGAACCCATCTCTTCTCCCAGACAACAATGGGTTAAACAGCATAGCACGCAGTGCTCTTTAGCTTTAATTGACAACCAGCATAGGAGAAGAAAAACAGGTTTGGCATCAGGCTAGCAACTTCATCCCGTAAAAACCTACTCACTACAGAAATCACAACAGTAATGTTTATCTGTTTTCTTGGACTTTATCTCCCAATGGAGTTTATTCAACATAATCTTGAGGGAGTTAGATATTTTACTCACTGTTTTCCTCTGTCCCTCTTGCTTTTAGTATGACCTGTGAGTGTTGAATTCTCCAAACCCCTTTTTCTCATTGAGAGAAATTTCAACTCTCTCACTCTGATTCTAATTATAAATGTCCTTCTTGTTCCCATTTTTCCTAAAACTTCCTCATTGCTCACATGCTTCACTCATATTTTCATCATCCTTCTGTAGAATCAAATCTCTGCTGCTACAAACTACCTCTTTATCTATTATTAATTTTGACAGGGGTGAAGTGATTTGATTGAGTACTTAGCAACAGTCTTCACTGACCCAGCAGAAAGATATGAATCTTGAAAATCTACTTCTGATAGAACTATAGATCAAAACAACACTGTAAGAAAGAGATTTAAAGGATTTATTGTCATGTCATGTTCATACATAGTTAAGAACAGAAAAAATCCTTTTTCATTATATAGATGTTTTTGGTTTTTTTTTTATATTTATATATACATTATTTATTACTGGCTGTAAACCCAGCAATGCTTTGGGATTGATTGACAGCTTGAAAAAGATGGATATTAGGTACTTTTTCATGTCAGGTTCTTCCAAAAAAACACAGAAATCTCAGTGTTATAAAAGATATTAAGATTAGTAATGTCAGTGTGTCTGGCCTTATGGTGTGAAAGAAGCATTACCAGTTGTCATTGATTTGTTTTGTTAAAAGACTGTATGTATATGTATCTCCATCTATTTCTATTTGCCTTTCACTCAAAAACAGATTCAGATACATAGGAACTGATATAGATAGATAGATAGATATGAATGGATAGAGATAGAAAGATAGGTAGATATGAATGGTCTGAGGTTGATTGATTGATACATAGGTATGAAAGGGGTGATAGATAAAGAATGAACTGAGATGAATACATAGATATGAATAGATTGATATAGATAGAAAGATATGAATGAAGAGATAGATAGATAGATAGATAGATATGAATGGACTGATATATATAGATAGATAGATATGAATGGACTGATATATATAGATAGATAGATATGAATGGACTGAGATAGATAGATATGAATGGACTGAGATAGATAGATAGATAGATATGAATGGACTGATATAGATAGATAGATAGATATGAATGGACTGATATAGATAGATAGATAGATATGAATGGACTGATATAGATAGATATGAATGGATGATATAGATAGATGAATGGATAGATAGATAAATGAATGAATGGAATGAGATGAGATATGAATGGAATGATATATATAGATAGATAGATATGAATGGATGAATAGATAGATATGAATGAATGAGATAGATAGATAGATAGATGAGATGGAATGAGAGATAGATGAATGAATGGATGAATAGATAGATAGATGAATGAATGAATGGATGAATAGATAGATAGATAGATAGAATAAACTGATATAGATAGATAGATAGATATGAATGGACTGATATAGATAGATGATAGATAGAATCTGAGATAGATAATAGATATGAATGGATGATATAGATAGATAGATAGAAGATATGAATGGACTTCATAGATAGATAGATAGATAGATAGATAGATATGAATGGACTGATATAGATAGATAGATAGATAGATATGAATGGACTGATAGATAGATAGATAGATAGATATGAATGGACTGATATAGATAGATAGATAGATAGATATGAATGGACTGATATAGATAGATAGATAGATAGACAGAAAGATATGAATGGACTGATATAGATAGATAGATAGACAGACATGAACAGACATGAATGGACTGATATTGATAGAATGGTAGATATAATTGAACTGATATAAAATATGAATGGACTGATATAGAAAGATAGATATGAATGAACTGATGGAGATAGAAATATAGATAGATATTAATGGTCTGATAGATATGAATTGTCTGAGGTTGATAGATCGATACATAGATATGAAAGGAGTGATAGATAATGAATAGACTGAGATGAATACATAGATATGAATGGATTGATATAGACAGGTCATCATGTTGTCAACCAATTTCAAAGATCATTTAGTCCAAAATTTGTGCCAAATATTCCCAGTCCTTCATTGCTGTTCCAAGTCCTGCATGAAATGCCAAAAAAATTGATATGACATCAGGGAATTATATTTTTTTGCCCCTGCTCAGGTTTGATGCAGGTTTCCAGAGTAGGAGAGAGGAGACAACCTCATTTTCGGCACAGTGACAATGGCCAGCAAACTGTGTTCAACGAGCCTGAATGAGAGAAGAAACACAAAAAGAAAATAAAAAAATTTGGTGGATAATCAGATGGCATTTCCAAGAGAGGTTTTGAGCTCTCATCAGAAGATGGGCATAGGTCCCATCCAAACATTTCTCCATGCCTTTAGAGAGTCTCTGAGTCATAGAGTAAAATTGGCTTAACAGCAGCTCGGCATATTTTGATCTTGAATTTTCTATCCAGTTATGATGTCCAGATCTTTTGCACACCATTGCATACAGACCATATCATACCCTTCCAAGCTTGAAGTCTTTCAAAGAGGAGGAGATGAATGATCCTAGATATTTATAATCCTCAACTTGATTTTATAGGATGGTCATTGTTAGCTGTACATCTGTTCATGTATTCAGTTTTGACTCATTGAGATTGAGAATTGTTAATTCAGGGTCCCCAAACTTAACGGGTTTTGGATTTCTGATTTAATTTTTGGAGAAAATTGATAAGTAATATCCATTAAAAACAAAAACAGAGAACAAAAAAGAGTTCTACCCCAGTGAGCGAAATAAAGGGTTCAGTTCAACATTTTGGTAAGTGAAGAAAGGCCAGAAATATATACAACTGAAAGCTGAAACGTTGTAATAAATATGGCAACAAAGATGAGGACAATAGTCCGAATAATGTAAATAGTGTACATAATACCTCATCTCTGAAATATAGACAGATACTGAAAGGCTGAAACGTTGTAATATATATGGCAACAAAGATGAGGACAATAGTCTGAATAATATAATGTACATAATACCTCATCTCAGAAATATAGACAGATAATAAAGGCCTTTGCTGGATAATGCTGATTAAGAATATCTAGCATATGATGGGTTTAACAGTGTTCAGCAAATCCCAGACACATACAGACACTCCACATTTCTATTTTTGGATAATTCTTCTAATGCATGTCATGTCATGCTAAAGATGATTTCTAAATCTTTTCTCTAGAGGGGGAAAGCCCTGAAGTTAGATATTTATTGTCAGCTGTAATTTTGCAAAGAGACTTTGACAACAGAACAGACTCTTCCCTGTTTGAAGAACTTTGCTTGAAAGAAAATCCCAAACTCCTGAATTCTGACAGAAACACTGAAAGCCTGAAAGGAGGAAGAATGAAATCAACACTGTCAGTTTGGTGAACCAGAAAACGAAAGCATGTTTATTCTGTAAGGCCTTTTATAAAAACTTTATGACAGATCCGAAGAGCTGAAAGGCCTGCAAGTTATCTGGGGTCAGATTGGATGATCTTCTATCAAATGAAGAAGAATGAAAAGAAGACCTTGTCAGATACTGTAGACAGGAAAATATTAAAAAGATCTGTTATCGCTAAAAGTTTGCTATTAAGTAAAAAAGAATATTATGCTTTTTTCCAAAATATATATATGAATATATATCAATATATATATATATATATATATATATACATGGTAAAAACATTAATATATATGTATATATATATATATATATATATATAATGTTTTGAAAAACCATATTTAGGCAGTGACCCTTCATTTATATATGTTTCAATAAATACAACAGACAAGGTACTAAGATTAAGCTTTTTATTTAATTTTTCAAACAAGTGTTTTCTTTTCCTAGACACAGAGTTTGTATAAACTGTACAAATGCTCTGTAATTTCTGGCAATTTGCTTCTTAACTGGGTGTATGGGTTGTGTGTATGTTTTTTAAGTTAGAGGGATGTTTTATTTTCCAAATACAGTCAGCACATTGTGGCCATGTTTGTAGTTAATATTATTAAGTGTTGGCTTTTTCTTTTTTATTATTAAAGCTTCCATTACTTTTAATCGTTTTTTACATGTGGATGAGGTTATTATGGTTGTATTTCTACTAGTATATTTCAGATGGAGTCTGGTAAGTTTGTGTATGTGTTTAAATGGATTCTAATAGAGCTGTGGTCAGATAGGTGTAACTTATAGGTATGTACTCATGTGACCAATGTAATTATTTATGAGTTCTGTTTGATCAGGAATACAGTTCCTTACAGGGCATTTGAACTCATAGATAATGTTCGTTCATTGTAATTTTGATTTTGTTGGTGTTTTTTTATTTTGGGGGATAAGGTTAGCTGTTTTAAATATTTTGTAGTAGATAATTAATTTGATATTTTTGTTCTTGTCAATTGCAGTAGTGTATTTCTTTATGATATTTCTAAGTGTAGATTCATCTTTACTTAGAAATATCATAAAGAAATAAAATGCTGGAGATTCTGAAGTCATCTGGATGCATGGTTGAAGCCAATGGCAATTTTATTGGATAAATTTACACTTTCATATTTCATGATAATTTTGTGTAATTTTGGTAAATATATCTGTTAAAATGAGATGTCAGTGTTATTTTCATTTTTTGCATAATTTAGACAACAATTTATCCATAACACCCTGTGTATATATATATATATATATATATATATACAGGTAAGATGAATATTTTCTATGAAAATGTCTTGGACATTCAGACTGGTAAATGTTATAATACTGTTTATTGTAAAGAAGCATTTACTTAAATATTTGTATCTATAAAAAGAATGTATAAACATGAGAAAAATGTCTTAAAATATTTATATATATATATATATATATATATATATATATATATATATATATATATAATATATATATATATATATATATTGAAATCACATCATTTTGGATTAGATGAGGATTTTAAGTTCTATGTTAATATTTTCTTCTCTCGCACGTCTCGCTTGTTGAACTCTTTTACTTCTTGCTTTCCAATCAAATTTGATCTTCAAAAGTTTAAATGCAATGTCAATCATTACCTTCAATCTCCTTAATTCCTATTTTTTTCTTGTCCTTTCTCCTTAATAATGTTTTTCTTTTCCTGATATTCTTTCTCACTAAGTAACCCCTTGCATCTCAGTGGCTTTATTTCATTTCTTGGGGTTAATGATTAAAAATATATACGCATATATTTAAATATGATCTATTTATAAGATAAGAATGCTCAATATCAGAGATAGAGCATTTGTAGATACAGATAGGTTTATATAGTGCTTGAGACATGAAACTGACATTCATTAATATAATAATGTATAATATATATATATATATATATATATATATATATATATACACTATATTCGGAGTTATATTTAAACTATTTGGGTGATATGTAACTGATTTAAAATTTCTGTTTTTCTTGAAATTTACTTTTGGATAATTGCTTATGCTTATTTCACCCTAATGGCTTGTATTATTAAAAAAAGATGATGGGAATAAAGAAAAGAAAAATTTTGGAGTTAAAAAAATGGAAATTTTAAACAGACTAGACGCTGGTGAAAAATTTCAACACTAAGGAACATAGGAAATTGGTGCAACATTGTATGATATAAAACCTTCCAAAAAACTATTCTCCAGCATTCACACTATCACAATGAACAAGGAAATAAAAAGACATGATTGTAATCAAACATGGATTATAAATGAAAAAGCTATTGCAAAGGTTGTCAGTTTTATGGAAAGCAAGCCAGCATTCAGCTATGATGATTGCAATAATGCAAGCTGAGTTAAAAAGTGTCTTTCATTTAAAACAATTCAAAAACAAAAGCAAAACAAAATGCAAAAAAGTTGAGAATGACATTAGAAGAAAAAGAATCATCATGCAACAGCGATTAAAAAAAATCCTTGTTACATTATTTGTTTTGCATGCGTGGTATACTTAATTTAATGAATTTTCAATACATAATTTATTTCTTTTTCCTTAAAATCAATTCCATTATATTTCACTCACCATTAGCTTATTTTGTTTACCATAAAACATTGAAAATAAATGTTAAACATGATTTCAGTTCTTTCATTTAAATCTAAATATAACTCCTCATATCCAGACTTTGTAACCAATTCCTCATATCTGGAAGGCCTTCTTAGTCTGGTTGTCATGTTTTCTACTGCTTGTATATATATATATATATATATATATATATATTATAAATTAACTGATTTAAAATATTTTAAATCAACTAATTTATAATTTTAATGCTTTAATAAATTTACATTGAGCACTAATTTTTTGAAAATAAAATATCTATAAGAACACCGGATTTATATATCTTACTGTTCTTTTTTTTATTTATATATATATATATATATATATATATATATATGATCTTGATAGCTCTGTATATATTTTTCTGATATAATATTGAAGATTATGATGTTCTCTGGAATTTTATTAATTTCTCCCAAGTAAAAAAATTTCACGAGGAATCATTTTCAGGAGAAGGGATCTGTGGCAAAGTCTGCTTCCCAATTCTTGATATTTTATGCATTCTGATTAAAAAAAAAAAATTTCAATGTCTTTTTTATCATTTCACCCCAGGCAAGGTGATAATCCTTCTGACATGCAAGGGTTTATTGGGGATGGAAGAGAATGAGAAAGTTTTAATAAGGAGAAAGGATAATAAAGAACAGGATTCAGGAAGACAGAAGATGGCGACTTCTTGCATTTAAATTTTTCCAGTGCATAGGTGGCAG